GCATCATCGGGAAGAAGCACGTGGGGCCGGAGACCGTGTACCCGTTCGACTTCGCGTACACGGAGGAGAACAGCTCTGTGCTCCAGGTGGGGCGGAATATCACGAGGATTAAGCTGCTAGTGCGGAGATTCCTGCAGACCCAGGACGACCGGTACGGGGAAGAGGGGCCGCCGCCTCCTCCCAGCAGGGCCGGACCCAGCCTTGAACCAGGACTCCCCGGATGGCCGGGAGGGAGGGCAGGGAGAAGATTCCAGATGCTCCAGTGAGTACTTGGGGTCGTGGGGGCAGTGAGGGAAACAGGAAGACTTTGAGACAGGCAGGAATGGACAAAGCTGTGCGTGGGGCTGTCCAGGCTAGAGAGTCAGTGTGTGGGCCGAGCCGGCCACACGACCCCCGACCTTGATGTGCGCCCCTCCCCCACATCCAGGCCCTTCTTCCTCTACGTGGCCTTCCACGACCCCCACCGCTGTGGGCACTCCCAGCCCCAGTACGGAGCCTTCTGTGAGAAGTTCGGGAATGGGGAGCGCGGCATGGGGCGCATCCCGGACTGGACACCCCAGACCTACGACCCACAGGACGTGCTGGTAGGAGGGACCCTTGCTGCACTTCCAAGACGCCCTCTGGCACCGTCCCTAAGGCCCTCCCCCAGCCCCCAGCCTTGGCCCACCGCGTGGGAGGGGACCCCAGTACTTACTAGGCCTGGGCGTCCTCTATGGGGCTGCAGAGAGACACCTCCAGAATGCAGCCCCTCGGGCCAGTCTGTCCTCAGGAGCAAGGTGGTGCCTGACCCTGGCAAGAAGGCTGGCATTCCACCTCCTACCCAAGTTCACGGGCAGCTCCCTTCCCCAGGCCTCTCTCCCATTCTGCTGTGCCCTCCCAGGTGCCGTACTTTATCCCCGACACACCAGCAGCCCGAGCCGACCTGGCTGCCCAGTATACGACCATCGGCAGGATGGACCAAGGTGGGTTCCGAGGACCAGGCCCCTCAAGGAGCTCTCTGGGCCCAGCCCAGGTGGGCGCCCCTGTGGCAGTGTGAGCAGGTGGGCAGGCCCCGCTGGGCTGAGCCAAGCAGGCTACACTCAGGCAGCCCTGTGCCCTGCGGGTCACCAGCTGTGCTGAAGAACTGCGCTGGGCCGGGCCGGGTCCTGCGGCTGCCCTTAGGGACGACCCCAGTGCGCTTCAGCAGTGGGATTGTGAAAAGGCTGTGGGATGGGGGGTTGGATCTAGATGTACTGACGCAGAACTTGCGTTAGTGTTTGTGGCTGACACCAGGGGCTTCACACAGCAGAAGTTTTATTCTCGAGGTATGGAGGCCAGGAGTTTGGAGGGAAGACCGGTCCTGCCTCTGCAGCTTCTAGGCTGGGGAAGCATGGCATCCCCCGGCTTGTGGCCACATCGCCGCAGCCAGCTTTATACGGCATCTCTGTGTGCGTCTCCCCTTCCTAAGAGCACCCTTACCTCAGCACTGGATACATGGCCCACTTGGAGACTTGGGAATGATCACACCCTGAGTTCCTCACCTTCCGCCTGCAAAGTCTTTTCCAGATTAGGTCAGATTTAGAGGTACCAGCGAATGTACCTCTGGGGGGAGGCTGACCTCCTTGATGAGGAGGTCGGTACCTTGCATCACGCCCCTGTTGGTGTGGCGAATGACAGCGGCCCCGGGAAGCGGGTGTGGAGAAGATGCCGTCCTCAGCCTCTTCCCAAGCTGTCCATTTGGGGGTTTGAACTTGAAATTTAAAAGCAGAAGGGACTGGGAAGGTGGCTCAGTGGTAGAGCGCTTGCCTTGCATGCATGAGGCCCTGGGTTCAATTCCTCAGCACCACATAAGCAGAAAAAGCCACAAGTGGCGCTGTGGCTCAAGTGGTAGAGCGCTAGCCTTGAGCTGAAGAGCTGAGGGACAGCGCCCAGGCCCGGAGTTCAGGCCCCATGACCGGATCCAGAAATAAAAATAAATAAAAAATAAAAGCAGACGCACAGAAAGCTGTGGGAGCGGCGGCAGCTGAGGGCTGTTGAGGGATGGGCAGCACCCTGGGGCTCTGGGAAGGGCTCCAGGATGGGGTGGGGTTGCAGGTAGTTGCCTGGGCTGGCAGGAAGGACCACTGGGTGCTTTAAGGCACACAGAGTGCAGTGGCTAGGCGGCAGGATGGTCAGCAGGCCGGAGGAGCTGACACCCCCCGCTCCGCCCCCAGGGATCGGACTTGTGCTCCAGGAGCTGGGCAGCGCTGGGGTCCTAAACGACACACTGGTCATGTTCACGTCAGACAACGGGATCCCCTTCCCCAGCGGGAGGACCAACCTGTACCGCCCCGGGACTGCTGAGCCCCTGCTGGTGTCGTCTCCGGAGCACCGGCACCGCTGGGGCCAGGTCAGCGAGGCCTTCGTGAGCCTCCTAGGTACGTACGGACGCCTCCGCCCACCACGTCCGGGGGCCGTCCCCTGCCAGGTGTGGTTGCGCTCTGGTGAAGGCATCACGGGGCGGGCCACGGGGGAAGGCATGGCACAGGCAAGCTTTCGAGTCTCCAGACGTGGGCCTGCCACGTTCGGACGTGGTGCCAGTGCTGGTGCCCAGGGACCACACTCAGAGAACACCTGCCTCCCTGGCCCTGCTCGTCTCTGCCTCTGTATCCCCCCCCACACACACACACAGAGCTGTGGGTGCGAGAACTGTGAAGGACCGGTGGGGGTGGCCCTGCGCCTTCCCCCGCCCTGCCCACGCCTGGAGGAGCTTCCGGTGGCTGACTGGGCTGTGAGCCGGGGTTCCTCCTAGCTCGGAGCCCTCCTCTCTTTGGCCCCAAACTCTGAGCTCAGGAGCTCCGGCAGGCCCTCCTTCCCTGAGGCACATCCAACCAGTAGGAGTTTTGTTTTTTTGTTTTTTGTCGGTCGTGGAGCCTGAACTCAAGCCTGGGCGCTGTCCCTCAGCTCTTCAGCTCAAGACGAGCACTCTACCACTTGAGCCACAGCGCCACTTGCAGCTTTTTCTGTTTATGTGGTGCTGAGGAATCGAACCCAGGGCCTCATGCATGCAAGGCAAGTGCTCTACCACTGAGCCACCTTCCCAGCCGCCTGTAGGAGTTCTAAAGACCCTAAGTAGGAGCCAGCCAGGGCCTCTGGGCATACTGTGCATGCCATGGACGGTCTCATGGCCCAGCAATGACCGGCCAGCGCCCAGGGCACGCTGCCCCGCCGGCGATGTCTGGCCTTCGGGTTCTGGAGTGGCTCAGGCCACGCTCCGTGCCCCGCGGGTCCTGGCTGACACGTGGTTTCTTTCCAGACCTCACTCCTACCATCCTGGATTGGTTCTCCATCCCCTACCCCAGCTACGCCATTTTTGGCTCCAGGACCATCCAGCTCACGGGCCGGTCCCTGCTGCCGGCGCTGCAAGAGGAGCCCGCTTGGGCCACGGTCTTCGGCAGCCAGAGCCACCACGAGGTGACCATGTCCTACCCCATGCGCTCGGTGCTGCACGGCCACTTCCGCCTGGTGCACAACCTGCACTTCAAGATGCCCTTCCCCATCGACCAGGACTTCTACGTCTCGCCCACCTTCCAGGACCTCCTGAACCGAACCGTGGCAGGCCGGCCCACGGGCTGGTACAAGGACCTCCACCAGTACTACTACCGCGCCCGCTGGGAGCTCTACGACAGCAGCCAGGACCCCCACGAGACGCAGAACCTGGCCGCCGACCCGCGCCTCGCGCCGGTGCTGCAGGCGCTTAGAGCCCGGCTGGCCAAGTGGCAGTGGGAGACGCACGACCCCTGGGTGTGCGCGCCCGACGGCGTGCTGGAGGACAGGCTCGCCCCGCGGTGCCAGCCTCTCCACAACGAGCTGTGACCTGCCGCCGGGTGCCTGCTCCCGCCCTGCCCTCCTCCCGGGGTCACGGCTGCGTCCCCCTGGCGCTGCCTCCCCCCAGCGCTGCCTCCCCGGCCGAGGACTGGCTGTGCTGGCATCCGAGCTGTGTCCTGGCAGGGAGGGGGGTGTCTGGGGACTATGGAGACGGGGCGGGAACCCGGGTTCCCTCTAGCCTGTGTGTTCCCAGCCCACAAGGAGCCTGGGACGTCCCGCAGCCCCCACGGGCAGTGGCCGCTTTTACCAACCTTGGTCCCTAGGAAAAGGCTCTGCCCGGCCCACAGCTTGCTCCTGCTGCCGCCTTGCCCCATCCCCAATCCCAGGCCTCGCCTGCCCACCACCCCCAATCCCAGGCCACCCCTGCCCACGTAGCATTTTCCTGGATTCTTGGTGGTCTTTCTGAGGGTGAGGCCGAGTTCTACCCTTCTTCATGTGACACCAGCGCCGCGTTCACATCGGCCCTGTCCCCTCCCACCACTGGCCCCCCCCCATCTGCTCTGTAGTGGGGGATGGGGAGGCGGCAGGCCACGGGCCACCATGGGACAAAAGCTTTTTATTTTAGTAAAATACGCAGGAATTCCTTTTTTGGACTCACTTGTGACGGCAGCAAGCTGAAGCGCAGGGCCTCCTGGTCCAGGCTGCTGTCCGAGTGACATTTGGTCACTCGGTCCCAAGAGGCAAGGGGTGGGGGAGGGGAGCGTGGCCCCGTGGCCTGGGGTGAAGATCCTGGCCCCCAAGAAGCTCCCTGGCCCTTGTCCTATTGTCCTAACAGCCTGCATGTGGGGGGCAGGGCACACTGGCCACAGGCCACGTGCTACGTCACTAAATCCCAGTGTGCCACAGGAATGCCCCTGCAGGTGAGCACACTGGCGTCTGACGGAGGGGCTCCGGGGCCACAGGAGCTGAGAAAGGCCATCTGGGGCCGTGGGGGGGTTCTTGTCTGCCGTGGGTTGGAACGCATCCTCGGCTGCCTTCTGAGGTGAGAGGCGTCACAGGATCGGGTGCGTATCCCATTATCCCTCATCCGGGCCCCAGCCAGCATGGCCGCGTCCCGGGGCTACATCCCAAGGGAGGCCGCGGCCGGGGAGACAGTTTACTCTGACGGAGCTGTGGTGAGGTTCCGGCGTGGCCTGCTCACGGTGAGCGTGTGTTCAGAGTGGGCCCTGCTCTGTCCACACCACCTTCCTCTGCTCGTCTGCAACGGCCAGGCGGACACAGCTGAGCAGGCTGTCCGGGTCGCTCCAGCTGTCGGGGGCCAGGCTGCTGTACAGGCAGGGCACTTTGTCCAGCTCTCCGTCCTCCTGCCGGGCCGCCTCCAGGAGCTGCTCCTCCGAGGTGCCGAGCCGCTGCAGGCCCTTCCTGCGAGGCAGCAGTACAGAGGATGGCTCAGGGCGGTGAGGCTGCCCAGGCCCGTTGCCCAGAACCCAGCTCAGATGGGCCACAGAAACACCCTGGGCTGTGGGTCTGGTGGCCCTACCTCAGCCTCTTGAGGGAAAGAAGCCAGGACCCAGCCCCAAGTGGCGCGTCACCGATGGGGACGGGCCCGCGGGGACGTTGCTGTTGGCATGGGCGGGCGGGGCTGGAGCAGAGGGAGTCGGGGAACCACCAACCTCAGGCCCAAGGCGCAGGCCGGGCCAGGCCTGGGTCTGGGGAGCTCCGAAGGCGCAGGCGGGACCAGGCCTGGGTCTGGGGAGCTCCCCAGGCGCAGGCCGGGCCAGGCCTGGGTCTGGGGAGCTCCGAAGGCGCAGGCGGGACCAGGCCTGGGTCTGGGGAGCTCCAAAGGCGCAGGCCGGGCCAGGCCTGGGTCTGGGGAGCTCCGAAGGCGCAGGCCGGGCCAGGTGGCTCAGCGGTGGCTCTGACCGCTGCTGCCCTGCCCCGGGTGTACCTGAGTTTCTTTGCTGTCTTCTCGTTGACTGAGACATGGAGGACGATGGGGAAGATGTCCATCCTGTGCAGGATGTGGACGCTGTCCAGCCGCACATCCAGGAGGGCATGGGTGTTCTGTTTGGGGGAAGGGAGAGGCACGTGAGGCTTGTGGGCCGAAGGCGCGGTCGCAGGGCGGGCAGGGCGAGGGTGGATGGCACTGGGGAACGGGTGGGAGAGAACTTCCACTCCAAGCGCGGCGCTGTGCACTTAGGAGTCCTGGGATGGAGGGAGACTCCTCGGGGTGCAGCGACCCCGGGGATCACAAGGTGCACTGGGCCCAGGGCGGGGGGAGGCTGGGCTCCCCCCAGCTGGGGAGGCCCCCTGAAGCTTCCAGACACGGAAGTGTTACTGTCTCAGTGTTTCACCATAAGCAAATATTTACTAGACATCTCTTGAACTGAGAAAACTGAGGCTCAAGGAATGAAGCCTGGCCCCGGAGCATGGCCCCCCCAGAGAGCAGTAGCAAGGTTTGTCCTACTGAGCGTAGGACGCCCTAACCAGGGTGTCCTGGGCCCCGGTGACCCCCCCAGGCCTCCCCAGCACAGCCCCAGGGAAACCCTCCAACCCGCCCCTACCGTCTCTGCCAGGCCCTCGACAGCCTGGCGGGTCACCCAGCACCGGCCACCAGCTGCCTCTCCCTCCTGGATGAGGTCCCCTCTCCGGCTCCGGAGCTCGAACTCCTCCTGGCTCAAGTGCTCTGGAGGTGACAGTGGGTGGGGCTGTCACGCACCTGCACGCTTGGTCGAGAGCCTGCGCTGAAGCCGCGCCCCCGAAGATCCCTGGCTCAGCGTGTGTCCCCCAGCCCTCCACGTGCGGCCACTGCAGCAAGCAGGCCCTGCACTTGCTGCCCAGAACCCTGGACTACCCGCCACTCTGGACTGTCCATCCCCTGGACTGTCCATCCCCTGGATTGTCCCCTACCCTAGACTCTCTGGACACCACAGGGATGCTGTCTGGAGGGTGGGAACAAGGGAGGGCGGATGGATAGATGGACTAGCAGAAGGACTGGTGGACAGAGATGGTATGATGGCACAGCAGCCCTGCCTGCCCCTCCTGCGCATCCCCTCCTTGGGCTCGCACATCCCCAGCCCGCAGCAGGGCCTGGGCCCCAGCACACCTGTCACACAGGGAGGGGTGCTCTGGCATTAGGTACGATGAGAACTCCTGCAGGGCAGATGTGAAGCTAAGCACCCCACCCTACACTCTGAGGCCCCCACTTTTGCCTTATGCCCAAAAGGATTCGCATAGATTCAGCCTCTGGAGCCCAGGTCAGCGCTTGCTCCCTGGCTGCCCGTGCACAGGCCCCTGATGGGGGGCCGTCAGCTCGCGGTGCCCAGCTCTATACAGGTCTCACGAGTCCAGCGCGTGCCCAACCCCTCGCTGACATCCATTCTTTCTCTCTCTTTTTTTTTTTTTTTTGCTGTCGGTCATGGGGCTTGAACTCTGGGCCTGGGCGCTGTTCCTGCACTTTTCAGCTCAAGGCAAGCACTCTACCGCTTGAGCCACAGCACCATGTCCAGTTTGCTGGTGGTTTATTAGAGATAAGAGTCTCACATGGCCTTTCCTGCCTAGACTGGCTTTGAACTGCGATCCTCAGATCTCAGCCTCCTGAGTAGCTAGGATGACAGGCGTGAGCCACCGGCGCCTCTATTCTCTTTTTAAATGAGTGGTCAAAAGCCTTGCCTCACCAAGCACCCATGCCAAACATGAGAGCCCAGTGGAAGAGTCCCCCACAGACCATGTCTGTCAAAGACTTGCAAATAGCATTCTCCTAAGGGCAGATGAGTTAGACTGGGCACCAAATCCAACCACCTGCGTCTTGGCAGGAGAGCCATGTGGAGGAGGAGACACCCTGGGAAAAGGCCTCCTCTGGTCAAGGCTGAGATGCAGCCACACGGCCGTGAGCCAAAGACCCTTCAGGATCTGTGGCACCCCCAGAGGCTGAACTAGGCCAGGAAGGGCTCACCTCTGGGTCCCCAGGGAGCCCAGCTCTGCTGGTGACCCAGGGACAGATCTGCCCTGTGGCACTGCTACTTACCCCCTCCTACCCCCACCCTCACGCCCCACCCAGTCAGCAGTTTGTGGTCACATGTTATGCAGGCTCACAGGCTCCCCCACTCCCTAGCAGAGGCGGCCTCGGCAGGGCCCGCCCCCCCCCCAACCCCACGCCTACCTGCTATGCACCTCTTAAACCCCTGGAGGAGACACAGCTTTGCGCTCAGGATCTTCCCGACGATGCTGGGCACGATGAGCACCGGCCGGGGCTGCGTGGGCCGGTGGGGGTGCACGGGCGTGTAGGGGGCCAGGGTGAAGCAGCTCTCCGCCCAGAAGCAGGTGCTGGGACGGTCTATGGAGGACAGGGGGCGTGAGCGTGCAGTCCAGGCTGCCACCACCTTCTCCCCCCCCCCCCCCCCCCCCCCCGCTGCCGCTGACACCTAGAACTACACAGGGCACGCAGCAGCATGTAATCAACACGGTAAACTGCACCCTGCACACGCCCAGAGACCTCACACCTGGAGGCTCCCCAGGGCAGCAGCTGAATCCCATTTTCCTTGTGTTCCCGGGGAGAGTAAAGGGAGCCTGGGTTTCTCCCTTGGAAGAGTGCACAAGGGCTCTGCTGGCTTTGCTTGCTGCACCCCCCCCCCCCATACAAACTCCCCTCCTGTACAGCCCCCCCCTTTCCGTGGGGCCTCTCCCTCCCCCCCACCTCCTCCCTCCCCCCTCCCCGTCCTGCACTGCTGAAGTTCTGTGTTGCTCTTCTGTTGTCAAAACCCACTTCTTCATATTATGCCCTTTTTTTTTTTTGCCAGTCCTGGGCCTTGAACTCTTGGGCAGGTGCTGTCCCTGAGCTCCTTTTTGCTCAAGGCTAGCACTCTACCACTCAAGCCACTGTGTCACTTCTGGCTTTTTCTGTAATTGGAGATAAGAGTCTCACAGGCTTTCCTGCCCAGGCTGGCTTCAAACTGCAATTCTCAGATCACAGCCACCTGAGTAGCTCGGATTACAGGTGTAAACCCTAAATTCACTTTAGAAACCAGACACTGGTAACTCATACCTATAATCCTAGCTGCTCAGGAGGCTGAGATTGAGAATTGAAGTTTAAGCCAGCCCAAGCAGGAAAGTCTGTGAGACTCATCCCAAGTAACCACCAGAAAACCAGAAGTGGAGCTGTGGCTCAAATGTTAAAAGCACCCGGCCTTGAGAGAAAGCTAAGGGGCAGCCCCAGCCACTGAGTGAGAGCCCCGCACCCACACCAGAAAAAGAGATAATCACAATAAACCCATCGTTGGCATCTTTGTGGTACAGTTTCACACGTGTGGAGTCTGTGTTACCCTGACCTCTGCTGTGGCTTTGGCCCACACTGCTCACAGAGCGACTATCCCACGGGCCTTGATGGCTTGTACAGTGTTGGGCATTTGATAGTCTTTCAGTGTTCACTATTTCAAACAGACCGCTGTGGATAGAACTGTATATAGATGGCTTCATTCTACTGGGCAGGTTATAGAGATGGGAATGTTTGAAGGACTTGAAGACAGATGCCTGGGGCTGCTGGCCAGAAAGACATGGGGATACCAATTACATTTGTTTATTCAGTACTAGGGTTTAACCTCAGGGTCTCATGCTTGCTAGGCAGGTCGTTACGATTCTTAAGCAGGCCCTAGGGTGGGATGCTGTGGCTTATGCCGGCAATCCTAGCTATTTGGGATATTAAGGCCACGGGAATCATTGTTTAAGGCCAGCTCAGGCAAAAAGCTGTGAAGATCCCATCTCAATCAATAAAAAACTGAGTGTGGTGATTCCCACCTGTCATCCCAGCTATGCAGGAAATAAATAGGAGGATTACAGTCCAGGCAGACGGCAGCAGAAATTCAAAAGATAACAAAAGCAGAGCCTGGCACAGGTGGCTCACACCTATAGTCTGAGCTACTCAGGAGGCTGAGATCTGAGGATTGAGGTTCAAAGCCAGCCTGGGCAGGAAAATTTGTGAGACTCTTATTTCCACTAAACTACCAAAAAAGCTGGAAGTAGTGCTGTGGTTCAAGTGGTGGAGTGCTAGCCTTGAGCAAAAGAAGCTCAGAAACAGAACAGTGCCCAGGCCCTGAGTTCAAGTCCCAGGAGTAGCGCACACGCACGTGCGCGCGCACACACACACGCACACACACACACAGAGGTAACAAAGCAAAAGAGGCCGAGTTCAAACCCCAGTACCAATCTCCCCTCCAACAACACTAGTGTGCCAATCCCCTGACTTGTGTGGAGCCGGCCTCACCTTCCACCCTGCCCGCGTCCAGCTGGCTCTCAGCAAAGGGCGCACACAGCGGGCCGGCCTTGGCTCCGTCCACGCTGACGATGCGGACCAGCTTCTGAGGCCCCCCGGGGGACTGTGAGGAGCGAGGGGGGAGGGGCCGAGGAGTCGTCACAGAAGTCACAGAGGCCGTCACGCCAGATCTGGGCCCGGAACTCCCACTCCGCCCAGACACAACCCCACTCCTGTCAAAACCACAGAGGTGGGGGGACAGCCTCAAGCAGGATGGGCAGGGAAGGGCGCCTGCGCAGGCAGCGGGCGCAGCAGCCTCCCCAGCACAGAGGGTGCCTGGCTGGCACTCATCCTGCGTCCTGGGGGGGGGAGGGTGAGCGACAGAAAGGGGACGCGGAGGCGCGGCACAGCGCTCCTGAGAGCAGGTCCGTTCCCGGAGCAGGCAGGCTGCGCAGACGCCAGCACGGGCTTGGTGGGCCCACGGGGGACAGACACTGCCCTGCACCCCACTCCGGTCAGCCTCCCCCACGAGGCCAGGACCTCCCTCCAGAGCTCACCTTGCGGGCAGGCCCCCTCTGGGTCATGTCTTGGATGAGGGTGAGCAGCTGCTGCTGAGCCCTGGGAAGACAGACGGGGGACTTGCTGTGGGACAGGGGCCCCCGGAGAGCCGTCCGCCTGCCCTGGCCGCGGCCGTGGGGCCCGCATGGTCCCCGGGTTCAGCCCACCCCGCAGATGCTGACTGGACCATGGACCCCAAGTGCAGTCCCGAGGGACCGAAGGTGAGCAGCGGGGAGACGCGGGGAGGGGGGGAAGGGGGTGCTTCAATGCGTGGGTTTCCGCAGGCTGTTGGGCAGGTGAGGGGAAGCTGGGAACTGTCCAGCGTGCCCGCCCAGGGGCCGCCCTGGACACAGAGCCTCGCAGTCCCGGGCAGGCAGCCTGGCCGCAGGGGACCCTGGGTGGTGTGGAGCCATTGCTGGTTGTCACACTGGCAAGGGAGGCTGGGAGGCTGTGTGACACCCACGAGCCGCCCACATCAGCAGAGCCAGGGCCAAGAAGGCCAGCTCTAGAATGTTCTAGAGACCCCAAGTCCTGTGTTGGAGCCAGGGCACCCATCAGTCAGCTACCTGGTCCTCGGCACTGACTTGGTGGTTCTTCTACAGGACATCCATCCCTCCCTCCACCCCCATTCCCGGGCTGGGTCTGCTGGGGGGGGGGGAGGGCAGTGTCTGGAAGGCCCCGCCTCTCCCTGGGTGGGGGGGGGGGGCGGGCTGGGCGGTCCACGGCTCTCACCCCGGGTAGTTGGGGATGGTGCCGTGGTCCGTGTGCTGCATGCTGTAGGGGTCCAGGCGGTGGGCCAGCCAGCAGCCGCGGCCCTGGAACATGGTGTCCGTGACGTGCAGCGTGTCATTGCAGTGCACGGGCAGCTCCCCCTCCCCCCGCCCCGGCAGGGCCAGGTTGACTCGGATGTAGAAGGAGTCTCCCGATGTCACCACTTTGGCTTCCAGGTCCTGGACCAGCTTCTTGTAACCTGATAAATGAGCCCATGAGGGCTCAGTGAGCCCCGGCCCGGAGCCCACAGAGGACAGAGGGAGGGCGCCCCACGGTGGAAGCCACATTAGCCCAAGGCTGCTGGGAGCATGGGGAGATGTGGGGACCCAGAGAGAGCCGGGCTGGGGGGAGGGGATGCAGCGCGAGCCCAGCGGGGCGCCTCGGGCTCTGGGGAGGCCCGGGGACCCATCGCAGGGCAGGGGCGGGGAGCAAGGCCACGGCACGTGTTGGCGCCTGTACCCTCAGTGTTGACCTTCACAGAAAGGCAGCAGAAGCCGCTGACCCTCTGGAGGAGCCGGACCGCCTGCTCCAGGGTCGTGTTCTCCAGGGTGGCCTTGAACGAGGGCTCTGCTGCCTCATGGTCCACCTGAGGGGGGAGGGGCCCTTGCTGCAGGCCGTCCAGCTCAGGAACGCAGGCGCGGCAACCCGGGGCAGACCCGCGGCCTCACTGAGACCCCTGCACCGCCGCCACAGCACCACGCCAACCATGTCACGGCCGGCTGGGTGTGCGGACCGCCATCAGCATCTTCCACATCCGCTCATCCATCAACCCTTCCCCACCCAGCCTACCGCCCAGCCCTGTTTCCTTGAGAGAGGCACTTCCTGACTGGCCGCTGGAGGGCAGAGGCCGCTGTTCAGAAAGGTTAAGCATGTAGCACATGCCATGAGTATGTCTTAAAAATGGAGCTTATGGGCTGGGAAGGTGGCTCAGTGGTAGAGCGCTTGCTTTGCAAGCCAGAGGCCCTGGGTTCGATTCCTCAGCACCACATAAGCCAAAAGCAAAAACGCTGGAAGTGGCGCTATGGCTCAAGTGGTAGAGTGCTAGCCTTGAGCTGAAGAGCTGAGGGACAGCGCCCAGGCCCAGAGTTCAGGCCTCATGACTGGACCCAAAAAAAAAAAAAAAATGGAGCTTATGAGTAGAGTTGGTATGAAGTTTAGTTGGCTGTGATATGCAGAGTCCGGAATGGCACACTGCAGGGCGTGGTGCGTAGGCTCCTGCCCCATGACCTCCAGCCTCACTCCAGTGCCAACTTACCTCCTAGCACCGGCCATGACCGGCCATTTTTCCATTCCTTCCTGGTTATGCCCTCCTGCCCTCCTGCCCTCCGGGGGCGAGACGTACTTGTTAGGTTACACGCCACCTTGACCCGCAGACTCCTGATTTGGCTCCGGCAGCCCCTCTGTTATTAGTTCTGTCCCCCAATGTTCCCCCCCTTCCTTCCCCCTGATTCGGTGGATCCCATGGTGTGGGACACCTCCGCCCCTCGGGTGGCAACATGCCATCAGCCTGTTCTCACCCACCAAAAACACCTGCTCCATCTCAAGTTCCCATCTCCGTAAAACCGCCAGAGCCTGTTGCCTGTTATTAATCACCTTCAAAGTAAGGGCGTGGATTCCCAGGGGAGAGACAGGCCTCCAGCCAAGGGCCGGCGGGAGAGGCCCAGCGCCTCCCCGGGGAACAACGTCCCAAAAGGCTGAACTAGTGGCCCTCACTAGGGCCTCCACTCGGCAAAAGGGCAAAGGACCGCCATTCGTGCTGGCTCTACGGATGCCTTCCTCCTTGCCCATTGCCACGCGTCAATCTGGAAGGAATGGGGTTCCTATCTACAAAGGGCATCCTATAGTTATGCCCGCCTTAGTTTAAAACTGATTCAGGCCCTTTCCCACCTGTCTGCTGTGGCTCTCGTCCATCCTAAAGGACGTCAGAAGGAGGACTCCCTGTCTCCCTAGGTAACAATAAGGACGATGCAGTGACACACCGGCCCACTCAACGATCAGCCGCCTCTGCCCTCCAGCGGCCAGTCACTTCCCTCTTCAGAGAACTGAACTTGGTTCTAGAATATTCTAGATCATTCCAGATCAAGATTTCTCAGCCTTGGGACTGTTCGTTTTGGAGGCTCTCCTGAGCTGTGCCACATGGCACACACCACCCTCCTCCACTCAGTGCCCACGTGCCCACCCACACAGGGCTGCCCTGTCCCTCCTCTCATTCCCTGAGTTAAGTTCAGGAGGCTATGTACTTTGTTTTTGTTGTTGTTGGTCATGGGTCTTGAACGCTGGGCCTGGGCGCTGTCCCTCAGCTCTTCAGCTCAAGGCTAGCACTCTACCACTTGAGCCACAGCACCACTTCCAGCTTCTTCTGCTTATGTGATGCTGAGGAATCGAACCCAGGGCCTCATGCATGCAAGGCAAGCACTCTACCACTGAGCCACCTTCCCCAGCCCTGAGGCTATGCACTTTTATAACAAGATAAAAATTACAACATGACCTGGGTGCCAGAGGCTCACACCTATAGTCTGAGCTACTCAGGAGGCTGAGATCTGAGGACTGTTGTTTGAAGCCAGCCCGGGAAGGCAAGTCCATGAGACTCTTAATCTCTAACCACCCAAAAGCTGGAAGTAGTGGAGTTAAGGAGAAGGGGCTCTATCCTATAAAATGTAAGAAAGGTGAAAGGAGGGTTGGGTTGGGAGAGAGAGGTGAGAACGCTGGATGGGGGACACGTAGTTATAAACTGCCTCGTTGAATGGCAGCTCCTTTGTACAGATACTTAAAGCCGGAAGTGGAGCTGTGGCTCTAGTGGGAGAGTGCCAACTTCAAGCAGAAAAAGCTAAGGGACAGTGCCCAGGCTCTGAGTTCAAGCCCCAGTACTGGCACCAAAAAGGAGCAGGGAGATAAAACTAAGTCAAACAGAAGAAAAAAGAAGGCAGGAAGAGAGAAGAGAGAAGGAAGAAGAAAGAAAAAGGAGAAGGAAGAAAGGAAGGGAAGGAGGGAAGGAAGGGAAGGAGGGAAAGAAGGGAAAGAGGGAAGGAAGGAGGGAGGAAGGAAGGGAGGAAGAAAGGAAGGAAGGAAGGAAGGAAGGAAGGAAGGAAGGAAGGAAGAGGAGAGAGGGAGGGAGGATTTCACATTCTAACAGCCTCCTCCATGTGGCCCTCCTCCTGGCATGTACAGCCTTCCCAGCTCCTGGGGTTCTCCTCCACACCACATCACCCGCTTCCATAAGTGGGTGTAGCACTGCACTAGGGCTCCCAGATCCAAGACTTCACCCATGTCCCCGTGCTCGGCCCCTCAATGTTCCCGCACTGTCTCCGCGGGCCCCTGGCGGTCTGGCGGCTGCCCAGGCCACGCACACCTACTCACCATGATGATCTGGGTGCCGGGGCGCAGGGCCATGCCGTCGGCGGCGGAGCCAGGGGTGACGTGGTGGATGAAGATGCCCGTGAGGTTCCCTCCAATGACGCGCAGCTGCTTGAGTAGCGCGGTGCCCTGGAACGCCAGCACGGTGACCTGGCTCAGGATCTTGCGGGCTGGCCTCCGCCGCACAGGGGCGCTGCCGAGACCAGGAGGGTGGCGGCTGCAGCGCAGCACTGCCAGGGCAGGAGGCCAGCAGCCCGTGGCACCACCGCCCCTCCGCCCTCTCAGAAAGGCCGCGCCTCCCCGTGGGGACAGGACGCTGTCAGGCTCTGCCCTGGGCTCTGGCTCCCCAGTCACAGCTCACCTTTCTGGCACGTCCACACTTCTGGCAGACCTCTGCAGGCTGCCCTCTGGCTGGGGGAGGTCTGGGAGGAAGGAGGGAGCCAGTGGCCAGAGCTTGGGGTCACCCTGCTGCTGACCCTGCTCAACCCAGACCACTTCGGCCTGCCCACCCGGCCTTGCCCACCCTCCTCCTCCTCTCTGCTCAAACCTTGATGTCATCTCTCCCCGCGTCGCAGTGGCAAGTGGGAATGGGCCCTGGCATTTCTGGATAGGTGAACAAGTCTCCAACAACGTGAAAGACTGGGAGATATCACCCGAGTCTACATTTCTGGATTCACTTAAAAACCAAATCTGTTGTTTGGGCTGAGTGGTCTGCCTGACAATCACAAGGCCCAGAGTGCAATCCCAGTACTAGAACACACACAAAAAATCCGCTAGGGCTGGGAAGGTGGCTCAGTGGTAGAGCGCTTGCCTTGCATGCATGAGGCCCTGGGTTCCATTCCTCAGCACCACATAAGCAGAAAAAGCCAGAAGTGCTGTGGCTCAAGTGCTAACCTTGAGCAAAAAGAAGCTTTGAGACAATGCCCAGGTCCTGAGTTCAAGCCCCACAACTGACCAAAAGAAGAAGATGAAGGAAATGGAAGAGGAGGATGAGGATGAGGATGAGGATGAGGAGCAGGAGCAGCAGCAGCAGCAGCAGCAGCAGCAGCAGCAGCTGGACACCAGTGGCTCAGGCCTGTAATCCCAGTTACCCAAGAAGCTAAAATGCAAAGGATTAAGCCAGCGGGGCAGAAAAGTCTGCAAGAGTTCAGCTCCAAAATCACCAGCAAAAAACTCGGCTGGTGTTATGGATGAAGCAATAGAATGCCAGCCAAGCAACAATCATGAGGCCCTGGGGTCAAACTCCTGTACTGGGGGTGGAGGAGAAAGCCAAATTAACAAGGTTTCTCTGTTCATAGCCTCACGACCAGGATCATTTGCCTTTGGGTGGATGCACTCAACATGTAAGTGTCACAAATAAAAATGAGTTGAAGTTGGGCACCAGTGGCTCATTCCTGTAATCCTAGCTACCTAAGAGGCTGAGATTTGAGGATGATGTTCAAAGCCAGCCCATGCAGGAAAGTCTGTGAAACACTTTTTTTTTTTGGTCAGGTGTAGGGCTTAAACTCAGGGACTGGATGCTGTCTCTGAGCATTTTTGAGCCACAGAGCCACTTCCAGTTTTCTGGTGATTAACTGCATGGACTTTTCTGCCTGGGCTGGCTTTGAACTGTAATCTTTAGATCTCAGCCTCCTTAGTAGCTAGGATTACAGGCAGAAGCCAATGGCTCCCAGCTGAAATACTCTTAGCTCCAATTAGCCACTGAAAAAGCCAGAAGTGGAGTTGTGGTTCAAGTGGTAAAGTGTAAACCTCCAGCAAAAAGAAAGCTCAGGGGCAACTCTTAGGCCCTGAGGACCGGCGCTAAATAAATAGATAGATTAAATAAACAAACAAATGTGAGTCTGTGAGGATTAGTGTTTCTGGTTGCCTGACTCACAGAGGAACAAAAGCAACCCTGGGCACTCATGCCCCCTGGCGACCATGAGAAGAACTCCAGGCAGGAGCTGAGAACCTGCGGTGTGCAGAGCAGAGGAGGAAAGGGTAAAGGGCATTCCTGAAAGGCCCATGGCCTTGGGCAGATGGACCAGGTGGGTCAGGGGCCAAGGAGGGAGGCTCCCAGCAGGTGGACGCCAGCCCGCGTAATCCATCTCTCCTAGAAACAACTGAGCGCTCACTCGTGGGGCCCAGGTCCCCCGGAGGCCCAGCGTGCCCAGAGCAGAGCAGGGAGGGGGTCAGGGGTCAACGTGACTCTTTGGACTTGAGACACTAAGTAGCCTGCATTTTCCCAGGGGCCGAGATCAAGGCAAGGGCACAGGTCAAGTTCACTTCTGACTCCCTGTTCCTCGGAGACCCACCCAGGCTGCCTGGCCTGCCTCCCTGCCCGTCCCAGCCCATCTCCCCTCCCCACTCTGCTAGCCATTGTGGGGGTAGGGAGGTTCAGGCGGGGTGATCATACTCACCCGTCTTGTCCAGGATCTCATAACCCAGGTCTGTGTCATCCTTGTCTCCTAGAGACGCCCCGAGGTCCGCCTCCAGGGTGTCTGGGAAGGGGCTGCAAAGCACAGAGAGCCAGTTCACACTGCTTGGCCCCCCCTCCTGCAGAGCCTGGGCTCCTGGGGCCTCCTGGAGCTGCTGCGCGAATGCCCAGATGGCCCACGGTCTGCCCCGAGGCTGCCCCTCACTCTACCTGACAGACTCGGGGTCTTCCCAGAAGTCTTCCGCCACCCGCTTGTACAGGGACTGCTGGCTGGGAGGCACCGGGCTGCTGGAGCGGAAGCTGTTGGCCAGCTCGCGGCTGGACGTGACACTCAGGTCCCACCAGAGCTGGGACTGGAGGAAGGCGGGCGGAGGCCAGCAGCCGAGGACGGGGAAGGGAAGAAGAGAGTGGACATACTGAAGTCACATTTATTGAACACCTACTGTGTTCCGGGCACTGCACACAGTGGGTGTGGATTCCCCCCAGTTCTCCAAGAGATCAGAGAGCAGGCGAGCCTAAGCGCTCTGCGGGGACTGTGGGGGACACGGCTGGGATGGTCCAGGAGGGAGGCACGGAGGCCTGCCCGAGGAGTCCCCTGCTCCACCCAGAGTATCCTGAACCAGTTGCCTTCTGTGGGAAACGATGTATTTTGCCAAAGGATGGAGCAGACACTGAGGACCTGAGGCTCCAAAATCCCTGGTGAGCTTGCCTCCCGGGAACCCCCCAAACCCACGGGCACCCACAATCCTAGGAAACCAGGATCTTTGCAGATGAAATCAAGCTATGGTGGAGTCAGACTGGATGAGAGTGGGCATTTGTCCCATAAGTCTTCCTCTTGTGGTTTGAGTTTTAAATGTCCCCAAAAGGCCATGTACTGGGGACTTGTGTGCCAGTGTGTGGCGCTCTTGGGAGGGGTGGGGCCTAGTGGGAGGAGAAGGTCACTGGAGCCACACTAAGACCCGACTCCTTTACTCTCTGTCTCTGTCTCTCTTTTCCTCTCAACCCTGCTATGATGTTCTGTCTAACCACAGGCTCAAAGCAGTGGGGCAAGCGACCATGAACTGAAAATAAATCCTTCTTTCCCTAGCCCTCCTTTCTTGTGCTGGGGCTTGAATTCAGGGTCTGGGCACTGTCCCTGAGCTTCTTTTTAGTCAAGGAGAGCACTCTACCAATTGAGCCACAGCGCCACTTGCAGCTTTTTCTGTTCATGTGGTACTGAGGAATCCAACCCAACCCAGGGCTTCAAGCATGCTAGGCAAGCACTGTACCACTGAGCCACCTTCCCAACCCAAATCTTTCTTTAAGTGGCTTATCTCAGGCATTTTTGTCACAATAATAGAAAGCTGACTGCTACAATTTTTTTTTTTTTGTCAGTCGTAGGGCTTGAACTCTGGGCCTGGGCGCTGTCCTTCAGCTCTTCAGCTCAAGGTGAGCACTCTACCACTTGAGACACAGCACCACTTCTGGTTTTCTGGTGGTTTATTGGGGATAAGAGTCTCACAGGGGGCAGGGAAGGTGGCTCAGTGGTAGAGCGCTTGCCTTGCATGCATGAGGCCTTGGGTTCGATTCCCCAGCACCACATAAGCAAAAAAAAAAAAAAAAAAAAGTTGAAAAAATAAAATTAAATTAAAAAAAAAAAAGTTTGGGGCTGGGAAGGTGGCTCAGTGGCAGAGTGCTTGCCTTGCATGCATGAAGCCCTGGGTTCGATTCCTCAGCACCACATAAGCAGAAAAAGCTGGAGGTGGCACTGTGGCTCAAGTGGTAGGGCTAGCTCTGAGCTGAAGAGCTGAGGGACAGCGCCCAGGCCCAGAGTTCAGCTCCCACAACTGGCAAAAAAAAAAGAAAAGAGTCTCACGGCCTTTCCTGCCTAGGCTGGCTTTGAACCGTGATCCTCAGATCTCAGCCTCCTGAGTACCTAGGATGACAGGTGTGAGCCACCAGCGCCCAGAAGTGACTGCTACACGTTCTAAGAGGAGAAAAATCTGGGCAAAATCATGGGGAAACACCATGTGGGATGGAGCTGGGATCACAGCTATGCCGGTGCCAGTTGAAGATTGCCAGGAGTCACCAGACTCGCCAAGAGCAACCAAGAGTGTGGCCCTGTGGTGCCTTGATCCCTAATGTCCAGCCCCCAGAACCACAGGACATCAGTTTTCTCTGGATGACTCCCTCCATGGTGCTGACCTCTTCTGCAGGAAACAGGGTGGCTCAGCCCCCTCAGTCCTGATAGAGAATGTTCCGGGCTGAGCAGGAAGGGGGAGGGGCAGGGTACCTCCATGGAGCTGAGGCTGCTGAGCTGGCCGCCGTCTTCGCTGTCTTCCTGCGGGCATACCGCGTGCATCCGCACCAGCCGCTGCTTCCCCCGCGGACACAGCTCCTTGGCCCTGGCTTCCTGTCTGGGCTGCCAAAGATGAGCCAGACAGCTCATCACTCAGGAAACCAAGCAAGCCAGAAGTGGAGCTGTGGCTCAAGGGCAGAGTGCCAGCCTTGAGTGTACAGCTAAAGGACAACACCCTGAATGCACCCAGGCCTACCCAGGCCCTCCATGAGATCACACCCCCTTCCGGGGCAGACCTGTCCTCAGCCCCCAGGTAAACAACTGTGTCCCTGTCCTCGGAGCTCAGAAGCCCATCAGCCCCAGAACCGACTCACCAGGAAGACTAGAAACATTTCTTTCTTTTTTGTCAGTTGTGGGGCATGAACTCTGGGCCTGGGCACTGTCCCTCAGCTCTTCAGCTCAAGGCTAGAGCTCTACCATTGAGCCACAGCACCACAGCGCCACTTCTGGCTTTTTCTGCTTATGTGGTACTGAGGAATGGAACCCAGGGCCTCATGCATGCAAGGCAAGCGCTCTACCACTGAGCCACCTTCCCAGCCCTAGAAGCATTTCTTTTATTAGAGATCATACATTGCTGTTTGTTAGCTTTAAATTTTTTTAATGTTGCCAAGCACCTATGGCTCACTTAACTCAGGAGGTTAAGACCTAAGTATCAAGTTTGGAGGGCAGCCTGGGTAGAAAAGTCTATAAGACTCTGTCTCCAAAATAGCCAGCAAGATGTCAGACTGGAGGTATGACTCAAGTGGTAGAGTGCCAACTGAGCAAGTGTGAGCTCTGAGTTCAAACTCTGGTAATACCAAACAAAAAAATTGTATGTAAAAAAATACGTCTATTGTAGAATATGGGGAACAGAACCAATTCACCCTAATTCCACGCTCAACACTAAGGGTTAACATACCGCTTGCATTTGGTCTTGCCTGTCCCGCCCCATCCCTCGTTTGGTGTGTGGAGGGTGGTTGGCTGGGGAACGCCGCCTGCGCGGTGAGATGGAAGGCTGGAGGCTGAGCCGTCCTGTGTGGGTCCAACTGCCTCCCCCGGGGCCCATGGCCCTGCTGCACCTCGCTCGCCCGGGTGCCGGACCCCAGGAGGTTTCCCGATACTTCCTGTTCCCTGGGCAGCACTGTGCCGTGTCATGAGCCAGGCACACGTGTGCGTGTGGGCGGGTTCACAGCTCTTCACTCCCCACGCACCGCATCACGGGCTCCGAGGGATCGCGCCGTGTCTGGCTCAAGGAGGCAGCAGCCGGCAGGGTGAACGCCAGCGCCCCAGGCCCATGGGCGGCCCCTCCCCCCAGCAGAGGCCCCAGCACTCACCCCTGCGGGGGGCTCTTCCTGCAGCCTGCGCAGCTGGGTGCGCAGCTCGCACACCTGCTCCGTCAGCTCAAACACCCTCCTGCGGAGGCAGTCCTTCTCCGTCAGGCTCCGGGAAATCTCCATCTGCACCCCGTCCCTGGCCGCGTATGCCTGCCCAGACAGGAGGGACGGGCGTGGACAGTGAGGGGCAGGGCCAATGAGCCAGCAGGGGTCGTAGCCCCAGAAACCATCCTGCTGACCATAAAAAACTAAAAAACCGGGGCCGGGAAGGTGGCCCAGTGGTAGAGCGCTTGCCTCGCATGCATGAGGCCCTGGGTTCGATTCCTCAGCACCACAAAAGCAGAAAAAGCCGGAAGTGGCACTGTGGCTCAAGTGGTAGAGCACTAGCCTTGAGCTGAAGAGCTGAGGGACAGCACCCAGGCCCAGAGTTCAAGCCCCATGACCGACCCCCCCCCCCCTAAAAAACAAACTGTAAAAAACCAACAATCCACTTCAGTGCCTGTACACCTATATGATTTTGCTAGAACCCAGTCTCTGGAGTGCACTTTCTCAACGTTTTGTGCCAGGGATAAAGCAGAGCGAGAGACACAGAAGCATGTTCAGATTGGGGGGTTGGTGGTTAAGGAGCCTCACATGAGCCAGGCACTGGTGGCTCACGCCTGTCACTCTAGCTACTCAGGAAGCTGAGATCTGAGAATTGAAGTTCGAACTCAGTCCAGGCAGGAAAGTGAATGAGACTCTTCTTAGCTTTAATGAACCACCCAAAAAGCCAGAAGTGGAGCTGTGGCTCCACAGTGGTAGAGTGCTAACCTTGAGCGTGAAAGCTAAAGGATAGCACCCTGGCCCTGAGTTCAAGCCTTAGGACCCGTGTGCACCTCTCTCTCTCTCTCTCTGAAATCTGGAAGCAGCTGCCATGAAGGATGGGCGAAGGCAAGACTATGCCCTGAACCAGCAGCATTCCACCTCCCCCAGACACACGTGTGGGCAGTGGAGGGGACAGGGGCTTCTGTAGCTCCGTCCCGGCAAGGGTGGCCCGGTGCACATGGTGGGCCCTGGCCTGGCGTCCCCCTCCCCCATCCCCTACCTGGTCCCGTTCCTTCTGCAGCTCGGCCACCTGGCTCTGCAGCGCGCTCATCTTCTCTCTGTACAGCTCACAGTCCACCTGTGTCTTCTGGAACTGGAGCAGGGTCTGTTCTCTCTCCTCCAGGTACTGGACGGGGGACAGGGCGGCGGAGGTCAGCAGCAGAGGCCCAGATGATGGGGGAGTGGGTGGGGAGAGAGCCAGGGGAGCGGGGGGCTCCCCAGGGGGTTCTAGAGGGGAAGGAAGGCAGCTAGAGGCTCTTTCTCAGGGCTAGGTTGAGATGTGTCTCTAGGGCCACAGAGCTGAGCATATTAAATTTAATCAGCACAAGTTGCATGTCTATTGCATGAAAAGGGTTTTTTTGTTCGTGGGGTCTGAACTCTGGGCCTGGGCGCTGTCCCTCAGCTCTTCAGCTCAAGGCTAGCACTCTACCACTTGAACCACAGCGCCACTTCCGGTGGTGCTGAGGAATGGAGCCAGGGCCTCCTGCATGCCAGGCAAGCGCTCTACCACTGAGCCACCTTCCCAGCCCAAAGGTTTGGTTTTTTTTAAATGTCCAGAAACATACAAATATTTTCTGCCACGCTGCCACATGCTCCCCCACTGTCCCCTGCCTCCTCATTCTCCCCCTGGCTAAATGTCAGGCTCCAGCCTGAGCCCTTGACATCGCCCTGGCCTTGCTCCCTTGCCTGACTTTGACCTCGTCTACTCCAGGCCCTGAGTCGATGCTCAAAGCTCTGTTGAAGGTCGGGAGAGGTGGGCCAGCAATTGGATAAGCGGAGCCGTGGCTCTCGTGCAGACTGGTGCGGCCGTCGGCTCTCTGAGGCAGCTGTGCCGGGTCAGAGGGCCACGACAGCCGGCATGGGGCAGCTGTATCACCTGTTTCTGCTGCCTCTCTGCGGCCACCGCCCGCTCCCGCAGTGAGTGGATGCGGTTGACCAGCTCCTGCTTGCTCTCCAGGGCCTCGTCCAGATTCTGCTCCAGGATGTCTTTCTCCGCCTAGGGCAGAAAGAGGTCAGCCCAGGACCCCGACCTCCCCGACACCTGGCAGGGGCGGGGGGAGCGGGGTCCTGAGAAGAGGGTGTGGGCAGACGGGCAGCACTGATTCATGGCTGTACATTGGGCAGGAACAAAGCAGCGATCAGCACTCTCGTAAATGAGAAAAAGACAAAGCAAGGCAAGCTGAAACTTCTGGGGGTGAGGGCTTCGCTCTATGTCTCTTTGGCTTCCTCGCTATCTCCCTGCAGAGGTTCAATGGGAGGGAAGGGCCAGGGGGGCGGGTCCTCCCTCCCCACCCCACAGCACACTCCTGACAGCAGTGGTACAACCCTGGCCAATCACAGCCGCGATTCATCCCTCATGAAGGAGTAGCGAGGGAACTTCTCACTAGACACTTGCTCAATAAAAGGAATCAAGCCAGGCTCCTGCCTGTAATCTCTACTACTCGGGAGGCTGAGATCTGAGGACTGAGATTCAAAGGAAAGTCTGTGGACTCTCATCTCCAAGAAACCAAGTAGAGCTGTGTCAAGTGGTAGAATGCCAACCTTGAACAGAGAGGCAAACAGAGAGGCTCTAGTATTGGCGCACATGTGTGCGTACACACACACACACACAACGACATAAAAGTTTCTTGGACATTCCTGCCTGGGCTGGCTTCATGCCATGATTTTCAGCTCTCAGACTTCTGAGTAGCTAGGATCTAGGATTACAGAATGAGCCACTGACGGGGCTGGGAAGGTGGCTCAGTGGTAGAGCGCTTGCCTTGCATGCATGAGGCCCTGGGTTCGATTCCCCAGCACCACATAAGCAAAAGGAAAAAAGCCGGAAGTGGAGCTGTGGCTCAAGTGGTAGAGCGCTAGCCTTGAGCTGAAGAGCTGAGGGACAGCGCCCAGGCCCAGAGTTCAGGCCCCACGACCGGACCAAACAAAAAAAGAATGAGCCACTGGCGCCCAGCTGTCTCTATGGCTTTTCATTCTGCCACCTTCTCAGTGGGCTGAGGAAAGAGGGGAGACGTGGGCTCGGGGTGTGGAGACTGCGGCGCTGTGCTGCGGAGGACACACCGGCCTGCTCCCAGTGACCTCGCGGGGACACCGCGGTGCTGTGCTGCGGAGGACGCACCAGCCTGCAGGCGCTGTGCTGCAGAGGACGCACGGCACCGGCCTGCGCCCAGAGGTGACCTTGCAGGGACACCGCGGCACTGAGAGGTGACCTCGCGGGGCACAGGCCTGCACCCAGAGGTGACCTCGCGGGGACACAGGCACCTACCAGGCTGAAGGTCAGTGAGCGGAGCTTCTCATTCTCCTCCTTCAGGCGGCTCAGCTCCTCGCCCTCAGGGTCCGAGTCGCTGCTCATCTTCAGGGACCTTTCTCGACATTCCCGTTCACAGGAGGACACCATGCTTACCCGCTGCAGCTCCTGCCTCACCAGGTACAGCTGCGGGGGAGGGGAGTAAGTGAGCGTCTACGCTGGGCAGATCGCTCCACCTTACTCATAGTAAAGACTACTGATCACGCCTGTAATCCCAGTTATGCAGAGGCTGAGATCTGGGGATTGCGTACAAAACCAGCCCAGGCAGGGAAGTCTATGAGACTCTTATCTCCAATTAACCAGCCAAAAGCTGGAAGTAGAGCTGTGGCGCAATTAGTAGAGCACTAGCCTGAGCACAAAAGCTCAGGCTGAGGTCAAACCCCAGAACTAATACAAAAAACAGGAATTGGGATTTGTGAAAATCAGTAGGAAAAAGAAGACAGTGAAGGCAGCTAGGAGTGGGGCACTGGGGTACAGCTGGGCCATTCCGACAGGCATCTGCGGTGCCTTTCAGGGCCCAGGTTTTTCCCTCCCATCCCCACCCACATAGTAACCAGATGGGAAACACCCATGCCCACCAGGCTGGTGAATGTACACACACATGGTGTGCACAGGAGTGTTACTGGGCCATTAGCAGCACTGGTAGATTGGACCACACATCGAGTCTGGGGACGGAACGCGTCCGTGAGCCCTGAGCATTGCTGAGGGCTGGAAGGGTGTGGGATGGGGAACGTGCTGGAGAGGCAGGGGGCTTCCTGAGACGGCGAGGGTTCTGAACTCGCTGGTCACACGGACACACACCTGTGGTCCTAGCTACTCAGGAGCAGAGACCAGGATTGCAGCTCAAGGCTAGCCTGGAACAAAGCCAGAGTTCTTGGGCTGGGAAGGTGGCTCGGTGGTAGAGCGCTTGCCTTGCATGCATGAGGCCCTGGGCTCCATTCCTCAGCACCATATACGCAGAAAAAGCTGGAAGTGGTGCTGTGGCTCAAGTGGTAAAGCGCTAGCCTTGAGCTGAAGAGCTGAGGGACAACGCCCAGGCCCGGAGTTCGGATACCACGACCGACCAAAAAAAAAAAAGAAGCCAACATGGCAAGCAGGAACAGCCTTGCTGTTGGAAGAATTCCACACCCGTTACTTCATCTTCCACAGAAAACACTGGGGCTTAGATGGCCTGACTTGAAAACACCTCCACGCTCCCTGCCTAGACTCAGAACCAGCCGAGGAGGACAAAGGCAGAAACTAGAGATGGAGGAGCCTGTGTCACTGCACAGCGGGGCCTGGGCCACAGGCCTAGAGACACAGAAGATCAGACGCTCACCAGACGTCACGGGGTGGGGCTGCTCACAGTCAGCCCGGAACCGCGCGAGGAGAAGCAGCGGCTGCGTGCCATGCGGGCTACACAGAGGGGCGAGGGGCTGCCTGGGGAGGAGTGGGATCGCTGGGGTGGGAGGGGCTCAGCCAAGTGTCTGGGGCCAGGCAGAGCCGCGAACGCCACGCCCGGGCGCCGCGTCCGGCGTGGAAGAGTACCTCTTCCTGCAGGCTGCGGCAGCGCGTGCTGGCCAGCTCCTTCTCGCGTAGAGCGTTGCCGTAGTGCAGCGAGAGGCTCAGCATCTCGTCCTTCAGCTTCAGCACCTCGTGGAAGTGGGCGCTCACCTCCCGCTTCATGCGGCCGTGGTCAGCCTCCAGCTGGCTCAGTTCCTTGGCGCGGGCCTCTGCCAGGCCCAGGCGCTCTTGCTGTCGCTGGTACTGCCGCAGGAGGGCCTCCTTGTGTGTCTTCTCCTGGGCCAGCTCCTCCTGCAGGCTGCCGATGGCCCCCGCCAGGCACTCGGTCAGCTTGGACGTCTCCATGAGGCCTGCAGGAAGGCGGGCAGGTGGCTGAGCCATGGTCCCCTGCCTCCAGACCCCAGGGCCCCAGCTCTGACCTGTTCCTTGTCTTAACAGCCTCCAGCTTTGACTGGACTCTGTGCCCAGGCTAGTGTGGCCGGGGACACAGGACTGTCCTCTCCACTCCCCTTGGGGGCCCACTGTCCACGCCCAACTCTCTTCCTTAGCTGCCAGTGCTCAGAACTAATCATTGATTGGTGGATTGATGGATTGTGGTACTGGGGTTTGAACTCAAGGCCTCACATTTGCTAGACAGGTATTTTACCAATTCAGTTATTTTTCAGGTAGAGTGTCAAGTTTTTTCCCCAAGTATGAAACCTCCCATCTGCAGCTCCCATCCTAGCTCCTGAAGAGCTAGGATCATGGGCGTAATTACTAATTGAGATGGGGTCTCAACAAATTCTCTGTGTGACCTTGAGCCAGCACACTCCTAATTGGTACTTCCTGAACAGCTGTGAGTACAGGCATCCGTCATAGTGCCTGGCCCAGAGTTAATAATTTCAATATCTTCCCAATAAAAGCACAGAACATTAACATACAAAAGAGACAACTTATTATCCCTGAGAGCCCTGGTGTGTATGTGCCTCTGAGTGTGTGTGTGTGTGTGTGTGTGTGTGTGTGTGTGTGTGTGTGTGTGCGCGCGTGCGCATGCGCACGCTCACATGTGTGCACTGGGCACTGTCTCTTAGCTTTATTGCTTCAAGGCTGGCACTATCATTGAGCCACAGCTACATTGCGGCTTTTTGATGGTTAACTGGAGGTGCTAGTGGCTCATACCTATAATCCCAGCTACTCAGGAGGCTGAGATCTGAGGACTGTGGTTCAAAGCCAGCCCAGGAAAGGAAAGCCCTCAAGACTCTTACCTCCAATTAACCACCAGAAAACTGGAAATGGTGCTGTGGCTCAAAGTGGTAGAGCACTAGCTTTGAGTGAAAAAGTTCAGGGACAACACCCAGGACCCGAGTTCAAGCCCCACAACAACAACAACAACAACAAATGCCTCATGGACTTTTCTGTGCAGGCTGCTTCACTTTGAGTTAGTAGCTCCGATTATAGGCATGAGCCACGGGCCAGTCCTGCTCTTTTGTATTTCTAAACCCCTCAATGGCTGCTCCCTGGAAGCCCCATTACTCACTTGCTGAGTGATCATGATTTTCACAGAGCAGGTGGGAGCTTTACTTGCTTGGTGTACAGAAGGCCCTGGGTCCCCTGCTCCTGGGTAGGAGCCTCGAGTCCCCTCCTGACAGACAGCACGGTGCTGCCTGCCTCCACCTCGAGCAGTATGAGGCGGGGCCCGGGCCTCTGGAAGGCCAGCCTCCTCTCACCCAGGGCTCTCCTCACTACACTAGGTGATTGAAGATGGACTCGGGAGCCCGAGGACTCAGGCAAGGACGTGCATCCAGAGGGAGCAGGGAGCGCTGGGGGCCGCGGCCCAGCTGGCCTCAGACCCATCCATCAGCAGCCAGCTCTCACCACTGAAGTTGCTGAAGTCCACGCTGGGCTGCAGCCCCGTGACCAGGGTGTAGACGTCAGGGTTGTGGAACTTCAGGCTCTCCAGGAAGGCGAGGGCCCCGTTCTTCCCTCGAGCCTTCAGCAGGTCCAGCAGGTGCCCTGGAGAGCGAGAGCTGCCGTGCGTGAGCATGCGCCCGGGCGCCCAGGCTGGCTTCCCCACCAGAGAGGGGGCCGGGCGGGGCAGCCTTGTGCGTGTGGGATCGGGAGGTGAGAGCGGCTCCCTGGATCTCCACCGTGGGAGGCCCTCGCTGCTCTCCCCTCCCTTTACACACGTGACCTCAGCTCGAGCCCACAAGGCCTGTGTTTACTGAGCAATTACTAAGAACCACTCAAGCCCTTGGCTAAGAGCAGAGCATACACATGAGAACACAGACACATGGCCCACCACAGCGGGCCTTTGGGGCGTGGGGCGTGGATATAGCACCCCCTCTGCCCTGGGAGGCCCCCCAGAGCCCTGGGACACCTCACCGTGCACACATTATCATGTTAACAGCCCCTGCTGCCTGCCTGCTTCCCACAGCACGGGCTGTATAATGAGCATCAAGGTAACTCCCGTACTTCTCACAATTTCTACACTGGAGTCACTGGCCTTCACGTTCATGGGTGAATCAATAACACAGCCTGCCTGTCATCATCAGAACAAGACATCCCAAAAAACAGAATCCACCCAGAGTGTGCCCAAGCCAGCGTCTTAGGAAAAGGGTCTGTGCAGATGTAATTAGAGAAGGCCATTCTGGAAACACACACAGACCCTACACTCAGGGACAAGTGTCTTTGCAAGAGACTGAGGGGAGCGGGCACAGAGAAGATAGCCATGTGGAGACAGGATCAAAGATGAGAATGTTGGGGCCACAAGCCAAGGCAAGCTGGGAGCGACCAGGCACAGGAAGAGGCAGAGCATGCTCCCTAAGCCCCCGGGCCAGCCCAGCCCTGCCTGCAGCAGGCCGCGTGACACCACCCACAGGTGGTGTGATGTCCCAGTCCTGGGGCTTGAACTTAGGGCCCTGGGCACTTTTCAGCTTTAGCTTTTCAACCAAGGCTGGAGCTCTACCACTTGAGCCACAGCTCACTTGTAGCTTTTTGCTACAAGTTAACTGGAGCTAAGAGACTCATGGACTTCCTTGCCTGGGCCAGCTTCGAATTAGAATCCTCGGATCTCAGTCTCGAGGTAGCTAGGATGACAGGCGTGAGCCACCAGTGCCCGCTGTGGTTTTTTCCTTGAACCTGGGACTGGAACTCAAGGCCTCACACATGTGGATCATGTGCTGACCGTGAGCTCCACTCCCACCCGCAGTTTTGAAACCACCCGTGCGTGCGTGGGGTCCGTGTTAGGTGGCCCCTGTGGGACTGAGAGCGTGCTGCCCTCTAGTGTGCACTCCAGCCCTCTAGGTATTCCAGTCCTGTGCTCTGCACGCCTGCGGAGGAGCTCTGCACCGCAGCCCGGGTTTCGGAGCCAAGGCCACCGGGACTCACCGACTCTCATGGCGCTGTTGGTGAAGCGGGGGCTGTGCAGCACCTCCTCCTCGTCCAGCTGGCCCAGCACCTTGGCCTGGCGCAGGTAGGGGGTGAGGCGGCTGGGGCAGATGCTGCGCACGATCTTGTAGCGATGGCTCTCCATCATCTCCCACAGTGCCTCCTCATCCACAGCCGTCAGCCGCGAGTCGGTGCGGCACAGCTCCGCCATGCCCACGGCCGGGAGGGAGCTGGAGGGGTACAATGGCCGCTGGAATCAGAGAACTGGTGTCGGGGGCCAGGATGGCTTTCCACGCACATGTCAGAGGGCGGGAAGGACATCCTTGTAGTCCACACTCGGCTTCCTGCCTGGGCATAGTGTCCGTGGCCAGTTAAGAGGCAGACCCCCTCCCCTAACCCCCGCCCCCGACATTCCCCGAGTCCTCTCTCAGGGCAAGCAGGAGGAGGTGGGTCCCATCTGGGGTGAGCTGAGTCTGCTGCTTCTGCTCAGACACCCAATTGACCCATGATGACAATGTTAAAAACCAGGCTGGGCACCAGTGGCTCATACCTACTCAGGAGGCTAAGACTGGAGGATCATGATTTAAAGCCAGCTCAGCTCAGGCAGTAAAGTCCATGATTCTCTTATCATCACAAAAACCAAGTAAGACAAAAACTCAGCTCAATTTACTCAAAGGAAACCTCCATTTTTTTTTTTTCCTGTCAGTCATGGGGTCTGAACTCTGAGCCTGGGCGCTATCCCTCAGCTCTTCAGCTCAAGGCTAGCACTCTACCACTTGAGCCACAGCACCACTTCTGGCCTTTTCTGCTTATGTGGTGCCGAGGAATGGAACCCAGGACCTCATGCATGCAAGGCAAGTGCTCTACCACGGAGCCACCTTCCCAGCCCCAAAGCCTCCATTTTCTTGAGAACCTCCAAAACAGGTATGGAAGGCTCACAGGGGGTGAAAGTTATCGGGGGCACAGATTACACACGCGTTCTCTGTGTAAGCACAGGACGGACACGGATACGCAGTGTGGCCATGCTGCCATGGTGCCGAGGGATGAGCAGGGAAAGATGTCGGTTAGGAATCCCTCAGGAGGACGGGGGAAAGAAAGGCCAGCTTGGGCTGGGAAGGTGGCTCATGCATGAGGCCCTGGGTTTGATTCCTCAGCACCCTCAGCGCCAGAAATGGCGCTGTGGCTTAAATGGTAGAGTGCTTGCCTTGAGCTGGAAAGCTTGAGGGACAGTGCCCAGGCCCAGAGTTCAGGCCCCATGACCAGCAAAAGAAAAAGAAAGGCCGGCTGGGGCCCGCACAGAGCACCTCGCCAGCCGCCCGCACAAGGCCCTGGCACCCGACTGCCTGTGTCCCTCTCACGGCTCGGTTCTGGGCTCAGCCTCTAGGGAACCACGGCTGGCCTGGTGGCAGTGGGCAGCTGGCCTCATCTCACAGCGCTGACATCCTCTGGGCACTGTGGGGAGCCGTTCTGAGCCCCATAACCTCGCATGCTTTGATTCTTTGGGTGGCATGACAGGCGGCACCGGACAGAGTGGAATGCCACCTAAAGTGATCTGAATTCTTTTTAAAGAAACCTTGGAAGCCAGGACAATGCAGCCCTGGTAGTTTGCATGCATGTGGATGCTGGCGGCTGCAGCTGCCCATTATGGTCCTTCTCAAAGCCCAGCAAGCACTCACGCCGAGGAGCTCAGGCTCGATCCTGCCAGGTCTCCTGGCGGTGGGATGCACGCTGCGGAGCCCTCTGCAGCTCCAGGGTCACCAGCAGCTGGATGCTGCTGCTGGATCCTTCTCTGCAGGCTGCCCTGGGACTGGGCTGGCAAGGAAGGCCGGAAGCCACGCCAGGAGACTGGCTCCAAAACTCAACGTCTGGCCCCAGAGACTAATGCTAGTGGAGAGATAGAAGAAAACAGATGACCTCCATTCCAGGAAAGGTCAAGGCAGCCAAAGGCAGCTGTGGACCCAGTGTCCACAGGCCTGTTTGGGTCCCACTAACCCCCTTCTCCTAAGTGTCTGTGCAGAGAACTCTGGAAAGCAAGATGCTGGATGAGGGGCCCAGGGACGGGGGAGGAGGAGGGGATGAGCCAGAGAGCCGCTGCTGCCCTACCCAGACCCTGCCCTCCACCCTGCAGGTGCTCTGTCTCCAGGACACCTGGTGTTCCTTGGCCTCCTTCTTCTTCCCACCCCCTCCCTTCCGCATTCCAGAGTCCCTACTTTCCCGAGGGAACGGAACCTCCAGGAATGCCTCTGGGACTGGCTCCTGCAGGAGAGTCCGGGGTGCCCTGCCGCTTTCTCAGATGACAGGAGCGTGTGGCTCTCCACCTCCCCTCACACCGGACTCAACGCCAGGCCAAGGATGGCCCCGCCAAGTGAGAGGATCACTGTCCTTCACACAGAATGAAAGAAAAACTACTTCCTGCCCCAAGCTTGGAGGGATGAAGTAGCCGTGCAGAGGGCCAGGGGTGGGTCCAGGGACAGCGAGGGACAGAAGGGCAGAGACTCCTCTGCCAAGTGCTCAGAAAACAAAGTGAGAAGAATCATGCAATTCCCCTCCGGTTTAGACAGATGTTAGTCCTGGGAGCTGAGCAATTCCCCTCCGGTTTAGATCGACGTTAGTCCTGGCGAGAAAGAAAGCAGTGTGGTCCAGAGACTCCCCAGGGGGCCCTCAGATCGCCAGCCACTCAATTCCACAGGAGTCGGGGGCACGGGAGAGGCAGGCTGTCCAAACCCCGCCCCAGCAGCCTTGTGCTCCCACTCTGAAGGCCAGCCTCTACTCTGACCTGGGAAGTAGGGAGGAGAAAGCATAGGTTCTCTCCCCTGCCCCAAGCTGGACTCCAGAATAAGAAGGGACGAGGGGGAGCAAGCTCACAGCCCTTGTCCACGGTGGACAAGGCAGACGGACGGTCACCAGGGCAGGGTGCACCCCTCGGCCAAATCTGATGTCACAGTACGAGGAACGCCTGGTGGTGCCTTCCTTCCACCGCAGGACAGCTGGTCTCACGCACTATACACCTGCCTGAGAAATCTTCTCCTTCCTACATCCCCGCAGCATCCAGCGGGGAAGGGTACAAGCCACAGGGCTCTTCTACCCGCCCCACCCATCCTGTGTGGAACTCAGCAGCACGGAATGTCCCAGAACTCGAACCAAGCAATGACACGAGCTGTCGTGACCTTTTCCCACAGACCAGGTATCTCCTCTGCTCCTGGTAAGGAAGAAGCCAGCCCTCCCCCCCCCTCCCCCCTCCCCTGGGATAACCAGGGCCCTGTCCTACCTGGCCACTGTCCCTCTGGCGCGCTGGCCTGCTCTCGGGGGCAGATTCTGGGCTCTCCCCGTCCTCCCCTGAGCAGCGAGGACCATCTGTGGGCTGGCAAGGGCTGGGTGGGGCAGAGCAGCAGCGGGCGAGCAGGTCTGACAGCACGTCCATCTGGGCTCTGCTGCTGTGCCAGGGCACGCCACTATGGGTGGCTTCTTGGCACCAGCCTAGAAGTCACAGGCATCTGGCTGACTTACGGAAGGCAGCGATGAGGGGATGGAGGATCTTGGGGTGGAGATCACCCCTTCTTTGTGAACCGTCAGCCCCGTTCACCAGAGTTTCTACTCTTGGAAAAATTCCGGGAAGATTAGGATAACTCCTGGGCCCATCGTGGTTTTCACATTCCTACTTAGTAATCATTTAATATTTAACAATAAGAAACGTTTAAAGAATTCTAATGGAGGGGGGAGGCTGGGAAGGGATGTGAAGGATAAACAAAGGAGGAGGCTGCAATGCTTGGTAAGAAATGTACGCATTATCCTGCCCATGTAACTGTAACTCCTCTGTACAGTATGTTCACAAATAAAATTAAATTAAATTAAAAAAAAAAAAAAGAATTCTAATGGAAGCTGGGCGCCAGTGGCTCACACTTGTCATCCTAGCTACTCAGGAGGCTGAGATCTGAGGATCACGGTTCAAAGCCAGCACAAGCAGGAAAGGGCGTGAGACTCTTATCCCTAAAAACTGCTCAGAAAACCGAAAGTAGCACTGTGGCTCAAGTGGTAGAGTGCTTGCTTTGAGCTGAAGAGCTGAGGGACAGCGCCCAGGCCCAGAGTTCAGGCCCCACAACTGACAAAAAATTTTAAAAAAGACATTCCAACGGACCCATACAGTCAACATGTCCTATGATTTAGGTTTTGTTTAAACAAGGTCTGGTTCTTCTCTGTTGACAGGTATCTACAACCAGCTTGGTCCTCTTTTTTTTTTTTTTTCCTTTTTTTGGTCATGAGGCTTGAACTGTGGGCCTGGGCGCTGTCCCTCAGCTCTTCAGCTCAAGGCTAGCGCTCTACCACTTGAGCCACAGTGCCATTTCCAGTTTTCTGCTGGTTAACTGGAGATACGAGCCTGCCCAGCTGGCTTTGAACTGTGGTCCTTAGGTCTCTGCCTCCTAGGTAGTGTGAGGCACCAGCACCTCGCTCTTTTTTTTTTTTAATTAAATTTTTGGTACCAGCGATTGAACGCAGAGCCTCACACCTTCCCCTGGCTTTCTTGCTCATGGTTGGTGCTCCATTACTGGAGCCATGCCTCCAGTTTGACCTTTTACTGGTTAATTGGAGATGGAATCTTGCAGAGTTTAATTCCTGGGCTTGCTTCAAACAACCATCCCCTAGGTGTCAGTCTCCTGAGTAGCTGGGATTACAGGTGTGCACTACTAGTGCCCAGCAACTTCGTCTGTGTTAGGGGGCCGTGGACCTCTGCAGTGGCTCCCATCTCTAGTGCCCTCCACTGACAGCTTGCAGCTACACACAAGGCTCTCAACAGGCCCAGAGGCCCTCCTCAGCAGAGAGCAGGGTCCCTGGGAGTCAGATGTATCTGGGAACCCTCCCCCCAATCCTCCTTCAGGAGTAGTTCCTTCCACTTAGCTGTGGGGTACCATCCCAGGGCAAGCCTCCCAGAGAGCCTTTCCCAGCTCATTCTCACCCCAAGCATCTCTTCCCCTTCCTGGTTCCGTTGTTCTCTGTGGGCGCCTCACCCGATTTCTGATATATTCTGGCTTCTGGCTGGTGTCCTCCCCACTGGGAGTGAGCCTGTAATCTCCACAAGGCAGAATTCTGGTCTCTCTTGTTCTCCCCCGACCCCGTGGGATGAATGAAGAGGCCTCGGCGGGCGGGGTGCCCCACGCCCACTGAGCAGCATGGCAGGGGGATTCACTACTCCTGGCCTGAGTGGGGAGAACATGA